TCAATGGCATTGACCATACAAAAACTGCAAAGCTGAAGCTCCATCAAATCAACCCACATTTTGTAGTATTTCGGTCATATTTACTGACCGAAATAGAGGCAAAAATTTCAAAGGCTGAACCTTCCTGTAGACTTCACAGGCCCGTGATTTATGAATGAACTGTGCATCTATTGCGGTTAGTCTTACTGACCGAAATAGGAGAAAGAAAATCAGCCTGTGATACTTGCACTAGTTCGGTCAGTTTTACTGACCGAAATAGTGGGGGAAATATCTTAAAGCCTCAAGCTTCCTGCAGACTCCATCAGACCGGAGGGCTATGGTATCTGTGCATCTATTTCGGTCATTTTCACTGACTGAAAAAAGAGAAAAAATAAATCAGCTTTATTCACCATCTATCGAATCAAAACCAGAATTAGGGTTTGGCCATTATTATTGACCGAAATAGATCGAGTTAGATTATATTAATCATTTTAATAGCAGAGTAATTTTTTTCGGCATTTTTTCGGTCAGTATTACTAACCAAATATGAGGTTGGGGAACTCCCCCCCATTAGTTCGGTTGAAATGCTTAACCGAAATAATATTTGACCGAATTACTCATCGAAGATGATATAAAACGGACAATTTTGTGTCTCGGTCAGTTAAAATTTTCGAAATGAGGCTTATTTCGGTTAAGATTTTTGCTTGACCGAACTAGTATGTCCAAAAAAGAGGTATTTTGTAGTAGTGATCGCAGTTAGCTGCACAGCACCTAAATTGCATTTTCTATCACCTCCAACTATAAGTCTTGAACCAATGGTAACAAAACAACGATAAACCTACCTTCAGTTGAGCAGCTGATCAATTGGCTAATCATTATCCACTAATAACAGAAAATATGAAAGATCAAAATCATCTAAACTAGGGTGCATTGCTTGTTGGTTAAGTCGTCACAACAGCAAGCTACATGGTTCTTGCATAGAATTTGCGAGCAACATGATCCTGGCAGTATATACTCTCTCTAACTAATTTGAATGTGCATGGAAAAGTGAAAATGTTTCTTGCAAGTTCCTTGTACTGTCATTTAGTAAAAAGACTACTAATAATAAAAGTTCTATTTTTTTTTCCCACAAAAGGGGAAAATTGGAGGCAGTGAATAAACTATAAACTTGTATTTCTCTACCCTACCAAAGTCTAAAATGTTTTTTCAAAACTAATTTCTAAAATAAAAAATTTATTTGGTTGGCATCCTTTTAATATATTCCTTTATAACATAACAAATAACACCTCATGCAATGCATGAACAACGCACCTCATGTTCTATGCTGTTTCTTCAACCAAAATCCTATCATCATCAGAAGAAGGTCCACAAGTGACAATGCTCCCATCTTTAGTCCCTTATTCTTTCTTGTCAAAACCAAAGAAGGCACACTTGGGCCTACTTTTGAGTTCTGGAGGTAGATAAATCTTTTATGGCCTTTTCAATCAATTAATTCCTATGGCATCATCCATTTTCTTGAAGAGGTTAATGAGCTTGAATGCTCCACACTCTGATACCTGAATTGATCATAGGAGACATCCCAACATTTCATCCAGGTCGTAAAGTAGACTGACCTGATAGTTATAGGGAAGGTAATAGGTATGGTGACTGAAGGTTTACTTGTATACTCATAAAGACCGTGACGCAATATTGAGAAAGCCATTGAGTTGTAATAGCTTTGTGTAAAGCCCCTGTAAACTATTGGTTCTTCCTCATTTTGACTGTCTAGATTCTCATTGATGTGGCACCACATGAACCAACAGGAAGCTTAGTTGCTCCT